CATTCCTCTGACATAGAGTCAGCAGGCAACAAGCTCTTTATCAAAGTGCATGCTTACAAGGTGAAGGATCTCTTCAACAGTCATGAGTTCCAAAAGTGGTCGAAATACTTTACGGATGCCTTCCCTGATAATCCAAAAGAGGCCGCTGGTTATATGGTGTCGATATTGGCAACAAAAACACGAGGTCCAATTGGTCGAGTCCATTCCCAAAACCAAAGTTGTCGACGGCAAATTAGCTGTTGGTGATCTATTCGAAGTCGCGCTGATAAACTATCTCGTCATTGCTAAGGGTAATGAGAAATCCGAGCTGTTTGCTGATCGTCTTGAAGAATCACTGCTGAAGCTTATTGGAAAACTGAAGGCAGACGACAGCTCAAGGTTAATTAGTGAGCGACTAGAAAGCAGAGTCCGTGGTGCTGGCATCAGCAAAAACAAAGAGAGACTTGTTAATGTACAACCAGTGCAGAATTTGTCCTCTCAACCAAAGGTAATTATCAAGCCGTATAATCCGTTGATTTTCAACCTTAACCAACATGAAAAAGCAGCATTTCGTTTGTTAAAGGATGTCGGACTTGACAAAGTGGACACGGATATCTTCAACAGCCAAAAGTTCAGAGTCTGGTCGAACCAAATTAAGTCTCACTTCCCATTTGAAAAAGACGAAGGTGCTAGTATCATGTTGACGACATTGGCGAAACTTTACTTGGAAAAACTGGCCAAGTCCATTCCGACTACTGAGCTCAAAGACGGCAAATTGTCTTTTGGCGATCACTTTGAAGTCGCACTTAAGAACTATATCGCCAATGCTAAGGGAAATGCAGAGTTTGATCCTATTGCTGATCGTCTTGAAGAAGCACTGCTTGCTCTCATTGTACGACTGAAGGAAGACGAGGAGTCAAAGACCATTGCTGATCGATTAGAACATTTAGACAATGGTGATCTCATCAGCAACAGCAAGAAAAAAGTGGGTAACGTTGATAATGTACAACCAGTGCAGACATTTTCTTCTCAACACAAGGTTATAAGCAAGCCAGTTATTTCGTTGACTCCCGGTCTAAGCTATAACGAGGCTTCAGCTTTTGCACTTCTCAAGAATGTCGGACTTGACAAGGTAGAGACGGACATTTTCAACAGCGACCAGTTCCAAAAGTGGTTGGAACAAATGGAGATAATGTTCTCCAGACCAGAAAAAAGGGCTGAAGTTATGTTGACGACATTGGCGAAATCTGACAATAAAAAATTCGTGGCCTCCATTCCAACTACTAAGTTTGAAGACGACAAATTGGCTTTTGGCGATCACTTTAAAGAAGCACTGATGGACTTCATCGCCAAAGGTGCGGATGTTGAGTATGTAAAAGATTCTTACAAATCTCTTAAAAAATCAGTGCTCGAACTCATCAATAATTTGAAGAGTGGGGAGCATTCTTCGTTTGGTGAGATTTTAGAAGGTGAATTTCTTTTTACTCAGCTCAGCAAGAACATGGAAGGTCTTTTTGACATTCTTGACGATTTGAGCGTGCAGAAATGGTATTTTTCCATGGAAACAAAAAATAGAAAAGAAGCCTTAGAAGTCCTAGACCGCAGGTTGAAACTGCAAAAGATCAACAGCAAACGAATTGGTGAAGTGATCGGCCAAGATCGTGACAATTTCACGAAAAATGTTTTCAATGATTTGGTAGTATACAAGCGTTGGTCACAATTTGATATGTCACAGTTATAGGAGATGCTGAAGTCCATATTTTCGACTCCTGTATTCGAGAGGCGTTTTACCAGATGCTGAAGTCACGTCCGTGTTGTCCATATTGCGGATTGATCATATGAAAAGCAGATTATTCAGTTATGTAATTCTTTAGGACCTGATGATGTTAAATTGAGAGACTATGCGAGAAGTATCGAGCTTGCCATAATCAGGAATGGAACTCTGGCCTGGACAATGAATTGCTGGACACCCTCGAGTTGAAATGGTTTTCCTTTAATGATCCTTTGGCAAGGAGTTGGATGAGATACATGACGATTCAGTACAAACAGAGCGCAATTAGCGAGATGTGTAAGGTTCTTCGCTCCAAGTATGAATCTCAAATCCGCAATTGATAGAAGAAGGAAACAAAGCGAATATGAGCCACTTGCGAAAATGTTAGAAGCAGATTTAAATCAGGTACGAATTTCTTCTATCTTAAATTTTCTGGAGTTTTATTGCACAGAATTTGTTTTGTCGAATAAGACAGTTTTTTTTCTTTTGAATTAGTATGTAATGTGTAATATACCTATTAAAGCTGCATATTTTAATATGATGATGAGTACTTTACCCTTGATTTTAACAAAGAGCTTTAACGTACCTTTGAAATTAAGCAGTGGTACTTGAAGAATACTTACTGTCAATACAATTAGAGCCCGATCTTGTTAAATTGCGTCAGTACCTCGGCGTAAAATCACTCCATATTGTTAAATATGGTACTTCATTACGGTACTTTGCTGCGTGTTGATAAGATGTGTTGATAAGATGGCAAAAACCGAAGTGAATATATTTAGGTCCTTAGTTCGCTACTCTGTGCTACCTCTAAGCCTGTCTTTCTAGATCCTGATCTTCAATGTAAACTTATCTATCTAGACCAATGAGCGACTACCATTATGTCCGTAATCAGCAT